GTCTCCTCACTCTTTCTGGGTGTTTCACTGTACTTTACCTTCTGCTCGCCCATTCCCCTACGCTTAGTGCCGTGTTTCCTACCGAGTCTTCACACCTCCTCTTCCAGCCATGTGGTTAGCGTCTTCACACCTCCTCTAAGCTGTTTCTTTCCTCCCAGTTTAAACATTTTTCCCTTCTGGAGGGCATCCCCCCACCTCGATTGCTCAGCCATCCTCTCCTTTGTCCTGGGATTGCTGCAGAAAATTTCTCCATCCATCCTCCAAGGAGCATCAGTCAGCATGTATTGCTCACGCAGAGCTTTGCTGGAGCTCCAGTGAGGCCTGCAGGGTGCACATCCCTCTTGAGCAGGTCCCCAACCCACAGCTCCAGATGCTTTCAATGTTAGTAATAACTGGGGGGATGATGTTCCTTTCCCATCTCATTGCATCTTCCCCACGACCTGCGTGCTCCAGCCGAGCTGAGCTCATCGGTACCGCACCCACCGTGCCCACGGCAGCCACACGTCAAAGGCAGCCCCCAGAGAGCCCTGCTAACCATATCATGTCTCATTAGCTAATGAGCAAACCCAGAGCAGCCCCAGCTAGTCCTGGCTGAGGTGGAGAGCAAATAGCACGCAGAACCCTGACTGTCCGCAAAGCTTAACAGGCACAAATTATTTTCAGATGTTTCTACCACATAAACAAGGAAAAGAAGCATCCAGTAATGCACTCATAGGGCCCTTCAGCATCTCCCAGGAGGAACACTCTGGAGCTGGAGTAGGAATCTGACCCACCCCTGCTCGTTCTTTGCCTCCTGCCAATAGTATGTGCATTTTGCAAGAAAAGCAAAGCTCTGTCACTGAAACGTGACTTCTTGCTCCTGTAGAAAACTCTTGCAGACAGTGCTAACCCCATCCCACAAATTCCTGTTCCCCAGTGCTTCCCTACCCAGCTCCCAAACTCTTTTACCCAAGCTGCAGGAATCTGCAGAGCTGGATAAAATCTACCCTGTTGGTAAAGCATACACCTACATTGCTGCCATCCCCAGCCAGAGTGGTTCTCCTTCAGTGCACTGAGTGCTCCTAGCCTAAAATAGATGGAATAAGGTGATTTCAGGCCAGGTTCTGACTGCTCAAGCACGAGATGCTGAATGGCAGCAGTTCAGTGTTGAGCACCCACCATTCCTGGCCTGGAGCAGCTCATCTAGCCCGAAAACCTTGTTTGTTTTCTCTCTCTTCAGGGAATACTTCTATTTGAAATGTGGACCAGCTGAAGGAGGGCTCTTTCCTGCTGCTTGTTATGTTTAAGGTGAACATGTGATTACATGAATTTGTTTCATTCTTCTCTGCTGGAAACTGGAATTTCCTCCCTACTTGAAACCCATGAGAAACTGTGATCTTGCCACAAGACGTGGTTAAAGACCCAATGAAATAGATATCCATCAGCATGTGAATGCAGCACTTTCACTGCTGCAGCTTGCTAAAACTGCTTCAAGGCCTGATGAGCCACACACCTGCCTGCTTCCAGCCAGGCTCTGCTGGGTCTGCACCAGCCAGGAGTGCTGCACAATGGCCCTCAGGTGCTGGACAGAATTGTTCAACACCTCAACTCCTGCTGAATCCCCTCCTGCATGCACATTTCTATGCAAGACTCCTTGGAGCATTGATCCTGTGTCATCAAGTGTTAAATTGTGGCTCCACTGAATGTGGATTATAATCCAAGCAGAGAACTGGTGGTGTTACAGCCTGTGTGCCTTGCCTGACAGTTCTGTAAGGACAGCTAGGACACACCTGGAGCACAGAGGTCTCTTTCTATCAGGATCACCAGTTCCCTGGACAGATGATTCTATTCCAACCTGCTTGGTTCCGTGTTTGGGCCAAGAAGGCATCCCAGTACCTGGCAAGCACAGCAGAGAGCATCAGATTGCAGCCTTGACCAGTAAAAACAGAGTTCCCCTTGCCCTCTGGAAATACATGGGCTTTGCAGTGCCTCCTGTGCTGACATGAAGCAGCAGCACAGCCCTGGCAGCTGTCCTAGCAAACAGGGAAGAGGTCCAGAAAGGCCTGGGA